TTTCATCATAACATAAATACTAAAAAATGCATCATTTTACTTGTTTTATTACACCAAAATACATTTCATCATGTTAGATTTCCAACGACGCATCAAACAGAGTCTGAAAACTCACGTTATAACCTTTTAAAAAATGCAAGTAGTTCTGCTCGCCCGACGAAGTTGACCTTCGCCATGAGGTTCGCTCGGCGACGAGCCTCGCCCAATGAAGCTGAGGCGCTTCGCTTAAAAACTAGGAGCACCCAAAATATCCCCCTTCCCTCGCCAGCTGTCTCGTCCGGCAATGCATATGGCTCGCTCGATGCTGGCTTCGTGACATCAACTTCCTGTTGCGATTTTCTGCACATACCACTCTCAATTTCCATGCGATTTCCATACCTATACAGTCCAAATTTCATGTAATTCAACATGGTTTCATCATACAACAACAACAAAACATTATTCTAGGCATTATATTCATCAAATAATTGTAAAACCACATCACACTTTCATCAATTTTATCATGGATTCATCATTTATTCATCACAATTCAAATTCATCATAAGACCCAAACCTAATTCTACATACATCTAAATCCCCATATCAATTATAATAAATAAATCACCTCTTACCTTAGATTCCTAACTATCGATTCTTCACTTCGCATTCTGCCCAAATCTCTATGTTTCCTCTAGCCCCAGCTCTTCACAACTTTCTTCCCAAACTTTCACGATTGTACAAATGAAATATTTTTCCCATTTTTCCTTATTTAACCCTGAGACCCTTTCTATAATCTTCCTATCTTACCCTCACGTATCCTTTCACCAATTACAACCTTGCTCCCAATGTTTCTACACTAATATTTCTATTTCAATATTAATAATTCTAAATAATTTATTAACTAATCATCTAAATCATAAAATTACTCATATTATCTTTACTTCAATACTACCCCTACAACATAACACATATAATCCACATAATCACTAATAATCCACAAATATTCATAATAAATCAATTAAATATATAATTCTAAATATCAAAGTGCTACATATTTTTCCCGTCAACTTTGGAGCGAGTTCAGGTGAGTACCCACGAGTACAAGTTTTGTTGACATGTCTATACAGAAGGGAACAAAACATTTAATTATCATTCAAAACTCATTCTTGAAATTGTTAGGGTCTGTTTGGCTCAATTGAGGGGATGGGAGGGGGTGAGGGGAAGGAAGGGGAGAAATTTAAATTACATATATGTTTGGTTCAAAATAAGAAAGGGGAGAATAATAGCAATATTTTATTTACAAATATGTTGATTCACAAGGAGATGTGAGGTATTTTAAAACTAATTTACTTTTATATCCTTGTAATTTTGTCACAAGACTCATGATATTTACCGTTTATAATTTAAAAATACAAATTTAATGATAAAATATAAGTATTCAACCAGAGAATATTATAAAAGATTTTTATAATAATGTAACAATTATAATATATAATTTTAAAAATATTATTGAACTAATAAAATATTTAAAAAATTATTATAAAAAAAACATTACAATAGTTAAAAAAAATAATATTAAAATATATTAAATAAAAAAAATTAAACATATATAATCATAATAATAAGATGGAGATATAAAAATACAATAAGTATAAAAGAAAAATAAAATTTGTTCAAAATATATCTTTTAACACTTTAATAAGTTAAACTTATATTTAAATAAATAAAAATAAATATATAAATATAATTATAACTAGTGTGATACTCGTGCCTTCGCACGGGTACCCGTTCTAGCCCTCTTATTTTGTTCAATATTATCATTATTACATAGTTAAATATAAAAAAAAATGTGGTTATAATAAAAATTTTGGTTTAAAATAAAATGAAAGAATAGTTTCATTTATAGTAATTTATTTATATATTAAAATAAAATTTGGTAAAATAAAAATAGAAATATAAAAATAAGAATAATTGTATCACATTAAATAGATATTTGACTTTAAAAGAAATGAATTTTATTCCGTTAAAATTATTCTTTTTATTTTTAATATTTAAAAAAATCAGTTTCACATATTTTCTAATAGATATATGTTACATTGAATTGAATTGAAATAACATGAAATAGTGTAATAGAGATAGAATTTTCTACCTCTTTAAAAACCTCTTCAGAATGCTTAGATGATCTTACGTGACATCTAATTTTCTTAGATATATTAGATATATATTATAACCATGTGAAAGACCAACTCATCTAAAACCTTAACCTATTATGTAGAAGTTAATGAATAGGTTGTGTCAAAAGATAGATAATAAATAAGATGATATTTAAACACTCTTTATTCATATATTTTTGTCTTGAAGTTTAAATAATATACCGTTCCACTTTAAGCTAAAGAATTTGTCAATACTTTATATTTTTTTGTTATAATTGAATTAGAAAATAGAGAAATAGAGAAAAATATTTATCAAATTATGTATATCCCAAACTTTATACATTGAGTGGTTTATGTGGTTCAATAAAAAAAATCATCAATTAAAATCAATACCACATATAGTGCTACACAATACTTTGTTAGAACCATATAAACCTTAAACTCAATACGTGACTATATAATGCTTTGTTAGAACCGTATATGTGGCTCAATTTTATTTTCTACAAAAGAAATCAATAAAAGTTAAACTCAACTTTGTCTTGGCATTACACAATGCATGACCCTGTATAATGCTTCAAATGATCTTTATAGCCAGACAGAAGACAAATCATGCAAATGAATTGGAAAAAAAATACATGACACGTAGAATTAGGACACTAATATCTTCTTCTATCCAACTGAATCAATACTACACTTTGCTACATCTTCTGTTGCATGTTGCATATGTTATAGGAAAAAAGAAGGTTTATGTGTAGCGTGCAACATTTTAAACACTATGAGATCTTGGATGAGCTTACATACATGATTGACTTATTTATTAAAAATCATTTATAATTAATTTTATAGAAACTTTATACACCAATTTTTCCAATCTTATATTTTTACCCCTTAAGCTCATAAACTCATAAGTATAACCGAATTAAATCCAAAAAAGTAAAAATAACACAACTTCGTCTATATAAAAAGTTAGCCACACACACTGAAATTATATCATTTATTTGAGTACAAGTATTTCAACTAAATATAAATCAATTACAAACATTCTTCAAACCTATGGCTGCTGAAAGTGCCAACAATTTTTGTATGAGTTTTCCTTCTCATCACACACAAATACAAATTTTCCATCTTCCAAAATTATGTCATCATTTTTTCTTATAAAAAACTGAAAATAACAAATAAATGAGGTTTATATACACACATAGTACCTGATATGATCATAATTATATTCTTAATAATATATATACTATGAGTTATGAGTACAATTGGTTTTATCAAATTAGAAGGGCAATTTTCTACCGACTCCTCCATTATTTTTAAGGTTAAATGCTATGATATAAAAAATTATATACAATATAAACTTAATGTAATTGTGTGGAAGAATGAAAGAATCTGCTATTATTTGGAAGATTTCAATTCGAACACATATATTTTCTTAAGGAAATAGTGTTGCACTTGGAATAGTTCAATTCAAACACATATATTTTCTTAAGGAAATGGTGTTGCACTGCTTTTCTCCAGTGTGGCCGAGAAAGGGGCAGAGCCTCCCTTTTTGTTCAATTGCATTTCTCTCAAAACTATCAACATATGAAGTCTGAAATGTGGATCACAGAACCAAATAAAATTAACTTATAATTGTTTTCCTTAATTAATAACCAAGAAGTCAAAAAATTGAAAATAAAGAAAATTTGAACTTTGGTTTATGTCACCATTAACAATTTCACTGACACTTTGTCTTAGATTCTCATGCCAAATTTGGAGGCTGATTTCATCAAAAGAAAAACTCAATTGATATTACAAAGCAATTTGAAATATAAGGAAGTGGATAGTGAAATTTCATATCTGATAATGTGCATGTATCTTGTAAGTACAATGTGTATTTTGGTTAACTTAAGTTAACACAAACTTTCTTGAAATTGTACATACAGAATAAGTAATTCTAAGGATGTTTAGAAATTGGTTTCTCCTAGACATTTATGGTGTTGAAGAAGCAGTAGTTAATGATACAAGAAACAGTAGCCCTTGAGCTGCACGTACGCATCTTCTCAAGAAGAATTTAATTGTTGGGGCAGTCATTTCAAATTTCAAAAAATGCAAGCTGTAGATTCATTCTGCAAAACTTGCATGAAATTATTTGTTTAAGATTTGTAAGTTTCAAATAGTGTGAACAAAACAATTTAACTTCACCAAATAATTCAACACAAACCTCTTCCTTGAAGCATGTGTTATTAGTTACATAACAAAATTCCTCTACATGAGGTGCACAAATCTACTCATATTTATTGTCAACAACAATCAAAACCAGTTATTTATGAACAACGGTGACGAAGCAACCGAAGAAGAATTATACAAATTCTGATTAAAATATTGTTACTGCTATAGTAAGATTTGTGGCAAGGTCATTAGTAAGAAAATATGTGGCAAGGTCATTAGTAAGAAAATATGTGGCAAGGTCATTAGTAAGAAAATATGTGGCAAGGTCATTAGCAAGAAAATTTATTCTAAGAAGATACTTCTCCTAGTTATTGTTGTTTGCTAATGATGAAATGAATTGTGTTTACTCAAACATTACAATAAATATAATCATGGCTCATTATTCTGCATTTACAGACATATATCTATAGTTACAAAATATGAAGGTGAGATTCATATCAATTGTGAAGAAAATTTACCAGAATAATATCTCTTTCACGAAAGAATAGGCCCGATTCACCGAACTGCAACAGAAACAGCAGTAGCAATAAATTGAAAGTTGTCTAACCATGCCATATAATGGTCCACCAGTCTCTATAACAACTACCTGTATAAAACCGAACACATGATGTACAATAATTTCTTGCGATTAATATTATATAGAAATTTATACAAGGCATGTTTTTTCTTTGGGAAGTAGCATGTATGAACCTGATACTTAACTTCTTTGGCGGTTCTACTGTTCAAATTAGTTTGAATGAATTTAAAGAACATAAACTACATCACACAATAGGAAGGAAACTTTCTTTGTTACCCAGATCCCTGAAGTATAGCATTTTCAATGTTGATGTAAGTATAAATGTCACCATTCATTGGGGGTGCAACTGGATTTCCCAACACAATAGAACCATTTGCAGCCATTTCGGTCATTGTTTGCCCGGGCCTATCATCAAATCCTTATCGTCCAAGAAAGTGTCTTGCTTGTACATTAGATTAGCTGCTGCAGTAGCAACATGTGAAGCAGCATATGTTGTTTAAACATCAAGATCTTCGGCAACATGTAAGTCATCCAACAATAATTCTGCAACATAACCACGATACATTTAGGTCATTCCATCTTGTGCCATACATGTTAAGAAAAAAATATGTAACATTATAAGCAACCCTCTTGTGTGATTTCTCAGTTGGTTGGTAGAAATCAGTTGGTAGAACCTTCTCTGTCCAAATCTATTTCTGTATCATATCCTGATGTAACCAAAAACCTTGATTGTAATACCACTTGTGGAATCCTACTTGTGTCCCACACTGCACCATGATTTCTACTCAAATAATTCCACTGTGAAGATCCAAACTAATCGTAATTAATAAGTCACAAACATCGATCAAATCATAGACATTAAGATAAAAAGGAGCATTCACATATTTGTTTCCAGCCGATTTCAGTTCAGAGAAATGTATCACTCTTCCAACCAAACAATATCTTATATTAGCCGAAGCATAGTCATTTTCCAAAATATCCACGTTTGCAACATCCTTCACATTGATCCATCCAAAAGTAGCATTCATAAATGTTTCTCAACCCGCACAACACAATTGAATCAAAGAGTTTAAAGTGAAGCTATGCCACTGCACTCATTGGTAGGAATCTCTAAAGATCAAGTGAACAACAAATACAAAACAGTAAAGCTGTAACACAAACTATCTATACAAATGCGATATTACCTCTTCACCAACAAATAGAAGTGCCATATTGAGAGGATCCTGAGATTTCTTCCCTTTGCACTATCCAACAAAAATGAAAAGGGAAATTAAAAATTCAACAGCAGCAACAATGATAGAAAAAACCAAAACGGAGTAACTAATAGCATTAATAGAAAGCAATTCAGCAATCCCTTCCCCATAAAGGCCAAGAAGAGAATAAGAGAGAGAACTGCATAATACATACTACGAAATTAGTCTTAAAAAATAGTGTAATACTATGTAATTTGACCAGTCTGCTTAAGATAAAACAAATTTTGCTAGGTCTTTTGGAGAAATGACCTGATAATTAATGGACCCCTACAATCCATTGTCTGAGACCCTGCAAAGTTCCAGTAAGTTATAAATAATTTTATGATTTGTTGAACAACATAATGTAAAAAATAACATATGGATACTCAATGATACAACCCCATTCTTACATGGCACATATAGACACAATTAAAACATGAAGAATGGCACTGTTATAAACCCCACCACTAAACATGTCATAAAAAATTTAAGGATCAGGATAAGAATTTTGTAACAAACAAAAAAGCTTCAAAGTCACACACTACAAAAAATGTTTCTAAAATTTGTAAAAAGAAAAGATTGCTTACAATAGGATTAGAAGAATCTTCTTGCTTCACATATCTGTGTCTAGACCTGCAGGCTGCAACCATTTGAGCAACCTATTTGGTATAAGCTTTATTTGTGTTAATAAAAAGTAAGGGTATGATGGACTCGACCCACGCTGAGATCCCACACATACAAGTTGTTTGACCTGCTAACAGCAAAAACAGATATATTCTCATTGGTGAAATGGAGTTAGACCCTATGAACAATGGTCATTAATAAATTCAAACAACTAATGTCCTGGTCACTATGTTGATGAATCTGTTTAAGTAACTGCTACAAATCCTTCATGAGAATCTCCAAAACTTGGTTCAGAATCATGGCTAAGTAACATGGCTTCAATTTTTACTCTTATCTAATATGAATATCAGAGACACCAAATTTATTAGATAAATTTGGTAACTCTGTAATATGAAGCACTACAAGTAATATCCATAGATACCTTACAGAGATGACAAATTAAGAAAAACCCTCAATAGAAAGTATTAAGAAAAAACCTCAAGTCGGGTATTACAAAAAGAATTATTGCTTCTAGCATTGGTCTGGTAGTGAAATATAAGCGTTTTGTAAAAAAAAAGAGCGACACCAACACCGTGAACGCCATCACTATGCTCAATACTGTTGTTTGTGAGCCAACGTCATAATTTACATGCGTACGAGCAATAAGACCTGCATTATAAGCTACCCATAATCAACTTCAATCAAATTTTTTGTAAAGTGATTTTAGAAAATAACAATAAGAATTGACCTGATGCAACACATCAATAAGTGAATGATGTGAAAATGTTCATTATCCCTGAGGATAGAACTTCTTGGTTTGGATCAATATTGTAACCTCTTAGTGATGGATATAATCTTCCAACAACTACAGATTCCTGTTATATGATTCAACACTAGAAGAAAAAAAAAGAAGCTATTATTATAAAACACTAAGGACATGTTTGGATAAAAAAGTGAATGAAACGAATTTGTGATCGGATTCAATGATGAATATTCTGGATTTTCTTACTTGTTTTTTGTAAAATGGCTACCGTATAACGAATCATTGCCCAAAATCAGTTTCACTACTCTTAGTCCTGCTGCAAACCAAAGATATCTGCAACTAAGTAGATTCAAAACATAAGGATGTCAATTCAACAAAACTGCCCACAAACCCGCTACCGAAAAACTGAACAACAAACGATAACACCAAAACTCGATGAGAATGATGAATAACCACTGCTATGAATTAAAACTGTCTAGACCGGCGAAATCAAATGCTGTGCTTTGAAGAGATTTTCGTTGGGAACGATGTTAGGGTTAACACGTTGTTGCAACCGCAGATCTACCACAAAGAAATCGAACACCGCAGATCTACCACAAAGAAATCGAACACCGCAGATCTAGATTTTCAAAAATCAAATAAAATTCAACAACATGTATAAGGTTTCAAAAGCATCAGAGTAACTAGTGATCACCAGAGTCGGAATAAAAGACATCAAGCTTGCAAAGAAAGCATGGACTTTCCCACTACACCTTCGAAGTTCAAGCTATGAGCGCCGAGAAGCTCCCTTTCATTCTCACAGCCTTCTTCACAACAGTTCCTCGTGTCAATGATCTCGAAAGCCCTCCTCAAATACGCCAAACTGATTTCACACATGATAACAGAAGAGAAAGGAATAGGAATAGAGATGTGAAAAGAGAAAGAAGACGAGAAGGCCCGCGGTGACTTAATGGAACAAAATGTAAAGAAAAATTAAGATTTAAAACAAACTATTATGGTGAATTTTCTTAAATTATAGATGAAAATAAAATGTCTCCTATCCCCTTTAATAAAATAACATTTTAATAACAACTATTTATAAATCAATAAAAAATTATAACAATAAAGTGCAAGTTAAACCATACAATAAACATTGTATCCAACATTTATATACATCGAAACGACCACCAAATTCGCGTTTCGCATTCTAATCACTACTGCAACACCACCACCTCTATCTCTTCGTCTTCCCTCTTTTCATCTCCTCCATCTCCACCTTCTCAAATTCTTCTCTCATTGACATCAATGGATTATTCAGCCTACAACCTCAACCAACCACAACAACCTCAATCCTATTACGAATACGATCCATCTCAGATTCAACATCAACCCTACGATCAATCTTACGCTGCATATCAACCGTCATATTACGCTGGGTATAATCATCAATACGCTTATTATCCAACTGATACTACATCGCATCTTCAACATCAACAAACGCATGGCTATTATCAATCTGAACCCGCTCCGGTTCACCCTCCCGGTGTTAACCCTGAACCGGTTCAACACAATCTGATGGTAAATTCGCCATTATTATTATTATTATTATTATTATTATTATTATTATTATTATTATTATTATTATTATTATTATTATTATTATTATTATTATTTATTAAATTATTATTATTATTATTATTTTAATTATTATTATTATTATTTGTTTTTTTGTTTTAATTTAGTTTAATTTATTCATTTTTTTAAATTATTAATGGTGTCATGTTTGGGGTGTTTGTGCTTCGTAGGTTTTATTGTCTGTAAGAGGGGGTTTTGTGTTTGTTGAATCATCAATGTGTGCTAGGAAATGGATTTGACCTAGTTTAAGTGTGGATTCTATTGTGTTTGTGCTTGAGTTTGATTATTTTTTCTTGGAGCAATGAATTATATTAGGAACCTATGTGATTCTGATTGATTTGTGGTGAATGTACTTGAAATTGGGTTGTTCAATCAGTTTTATTGTCTGTAAGAGGGGGGTTTTGTGTGTGTTGAATCATCAATGTGTTCAAGGAAATGGATTCAATTTTATGTGCTTGAGTAATCAATTAGATTAGGATTCTCTGTGATTTTTATTCATTTGTGATGAATGTACTTGAAATTGGGTTCTTCAATCAGTTTTATTGTATGTAAGATGGTTTTTTTTTGTGGGTTGATTAATCAATATGTGCAAGGTAATGGATTTGATCTAGTTAAATTGTGGATTTAATTGTGTTTTTGGTCTTTCTTGGGTTAAAGTTAAATCGTGGATTCGATGTTGTTTTTGTTGATTGCAAGTGTGTGTAGTTATGATAACTTACCTAAAGTAGAGAAAAAGCTTCTGTGATTTGGTATGGCATGTGGCAAACAATTTTGTTTATATCCAGTCTACTTTGTTCCAAACAACTTTGTTCCAATAAAGGCTCTTTCTTCGGGTAGTTTACATCCAGTCGAGTCTTTTTACTTAATATTACTCTAGTGAGAGTGAGTTAATTGAAAGAGGTGTATTCATTCAATGGTATAAGATAAATCGAGTCAAATTAAGCCATTATATGATATGGTTTGTTCCTCCTCGAATTAGTTTAGAAAATTTGTTGATACTCTAACATGCTAGTTTCTTGATTTATTACCAAAATTTGAAGGAGTAAACAGAAAAGGCTGGTTGAAGATTTCGCAGCTCTTTGACTTTTCAAATATTTTTTATGCATTTTAGCGAGAATATCTTGATGTGCTTCCTCAGGCTCTTTTGGGACATTCTGTGGACAAAAAAGGATGATGCTGGAATAGGTATTATATCCCCGGCTTTTCATCTAAAACATTCAGAAGATGTTGAGAATTCTGCAACCTTGGCCACAACATCCTAGAGTGACCAGATAAAGACAGTAGTTGCATAATCTAAGCTAATAAGCAATTGTGGCTCTTACCTTCAATGCCACAATAATGCTCGCATGGTGGTGGGTCTTTGCTGGTTGCTTTAGAGCTGGTGTGGGCATAAGATCATCTTGTTTCTCTTCTTAACTGTCTGGCCTTAATTTTGCTATGCCTCACAGTTTGGGAAAAGGAACTCCGTTGTTTTGGTTATTCCATGGATATAATCTTTGTTTGATATGCTTTATTTCTTCTTTTGTCAGAGGGTGTTTCGTTTTCAGTTTCAGATTTAGGGGAGCATTGAGCATGTTTCTTAAATTGACTACTTCTCAAGGGTTGCCAACAGTATCTTGAGGCTGATAAGGTTGATGTGCGAATTGGCCAACTCTCTGGGCAATTGATGGGTACTTTGGTTGATAAGCCATAAATTATCACAATCATAATGAGGAAACTCCAAATTTGTTTGGAGATATATTGGACATGAATAGTTGTAAAAGTGAAGTAATATTCATAAATGCTGGATCCAATTTTTAGTCTGCATCAGAATTTTGGAATAAAAAATTGGATCCAATGCCAACTTTGTTGTTTCATGTTCAAAATTGAGACACTTAGATTGAACTGTATGTAAGAATTGGAATAGTTCTCATTATCGAGGATGCCTTGGAAGCAGTTTTAAGGCCATCACAGTCTCCTTTTTTTGTGAATGTTAGTGGTGACTTAAAATTACTGTCATAAAATTTTCCCCGGTTCTTACCTGGATGAACCAGATATTCCTTTTCTTAATCACAGTTTTTTCTTAATTATTAACTCTTCTCCAATATTTGCAAGACTTTGGAGTATTATCAAGAGTTCCTTCACTAGTTGACTTGCATGTCATCACATTGACAGATTTTCTCTCACCCCTCTTTCTTTCAACCCTTGTGGTATTTTGTCAATCGTGTGCACATCTTTTATTCTAATCCTTTCCTCTCAAATTTCCAATTTATTCTTACCTGAATATTTGCGACCATATAAATATATGCTTTACTGTGTATGTGATTTTTAATTTTCAGATTGGGCCATCATCTCAATACAGAGGTAGGGGTGGTAGATCATTCAGGCGGGGTGGTCGTGGTCGAGGTCAGTTCAGTCATGGAAGAGGACGTGGAGTGGGCGGTGGGAGACACTTTCCATCTCATTCTTCTGGACCTGCTATTTCTGATGTACCGGGTTCATCATCAGTCTCAGCTCAAGTGCAAACTGCACCAGTGCAACCGCCGCCACGTGGGGTATTCTGTGATATTTGCAAGATTGAGTGCAATACCCCAGAAGTCATGGAGCTGCATCTGAAAGGAAAAAAACATCTGAAGAATATCAGATTACATGATGCAAAACTGAGACGCGGTGCTATCAATGCACCACAGAGCGGACAGATTCCTACCTCTCAGTTGAACTCAACGGATCAACCTATTATAACTCAGGAATCTGAAGACCCCATCAAAAATATTAGTTCTGAAATTACAACTGATAGTCAGAAGGTTGACATAATTTCGCAGAATAATGTAGGAGAGACTTCTGATGTTCCAGCTGAAGAAAGTTCTGGTGCAAGAGGCCGTGGATTGAAGCGTAAATTAAGAGGAGGAAAAGCACGAAAACAGACGAGGAATACTGATGGTTCACAACCTGAGCCAGCTGTAGCCATTACATGTGAGTTGTGCAATGTTAAATGCGACACCCAACGTGTTTACCAGGCTCATATTACTGGGAAAAAGCACTTGAAGCGTGCCTATGGTTCCCAAGCTCCCGCCGGATTAGTACATACCCAAGCTTTGGTTGGAGTAGGTAACCAAACTTTGTCTGAAGTAGGTTCCCAAGCTTTGTCTGGAGTAGCTGGGCTTCAAGCACTTTACCCACCTGACATCAACGCTCTAGCCACTGCAATAAATGCTCAAGTTCAACAAGGTGATAATGATCCACAGGTACTTCTGGCTCAGCTCCTGGTGAATGCACTATCTCAAGCACAAGGATCAGGAGCAGCAGCACTGAATGGCTCATTGGCTACTCAGACACCAGCGCCCACATCGGTGGCAGGTTCAAGTTATGATCCCCAGTTGGTGCAGGTACAAGTCTCAGAAATCGCAGCATATGGAAATCCTACAGGTGAATCAAAAAATGAGGCGCCTTCTGCCCAGCTTGAGTCAAATGCACAGGAAGGTTCAAATGTTGGCACACAAATTGAAGGCGGAAGTTCTGAAACTAAATAGGATGCTAATGACAGGCAGAAACAATTCCGGTGCAGCAAATGAATACCTTCATAATGTGGAGCTTTCTAATCATAGTGTGACCATAGAACAATCATTTTCTCTCTCAATTTTACTTTATTCAGACAATTGTTCCATTCTATTGCTGGCAATGATTTCTCATCTACCAAAGCGATATCAACACTAAGAATCTCTCACATGGATGTTAGATGTGTCAAATCCTTTAGATTGTTGCATGTGTATGTGCATGTGCGCCTGTAATTTTGATGCGTTTTACCATTTTAGACGATAATGCTGTTTGATAATAATGTTACCCCTAGTGGATTAGTAAGCAAGTTCAATGGTATATTATGAACAAGTTTTTTGGAAACCTTACGCATGAAAAAACAATCAAATCAGAATGGTGTTTAAAGTTTAAACCCAAGTCTGAAGACTTGCAAATAATAACTGTTAGTAAGCTAAAGAATACTAAATTATGTGAAAATGTGTATTTTATTGGCGACTCGTAGGGGTGACAATTAAATCCATTAAGACGGAACTCATTCAATATATCTATCAGAAAATTCATCCGATCTATCCAATATATAAAAATTAAATTAATGGATTGAATAAAATCTATTTATTTATATATATTGATTGATCCAATCTATCTAATATATTTGAATGATCCAATTGATTATTTTTTAATATATATTTTAAATCAATTAAATTATTTTTTGAAAAATAATAAAAGCTAATATTTTTTAAAAATAAAATAATTTAGTCTTTTTTAAAATAAAAAAAATTGATTTTTTCAAAATACAAAAATTGATTTAAAAAAAAACAACAGTGATTTTTTTTCGAAAATTTTAAAATGAAATTTTTTTGAAAATATAAAATAAATCAAAATTTTCAGAAATACGAAAATCAATTTTTTTCTAAAATACACTAAATTGAGTTTTTAGCAGAAATACTGTAAATTGAGATTTTGCAAAAAAACAGTCAATTGAGTTTTTTTTTTGGAAATACAGCAAATTGAATTTTTTGCGGAAATATAGAAAAATAAGTTTTTTTTGCGGAAATATAGAAAATCAAGTTTTTTTTACGAAAATACAGTAAATCGAGTTTTTTAGGGAAATACAATAAACCAACTTTCTTTTGCAGAAATAAAGAAAATCGAGTTTTTTACGGAAATAAAGTAAATCGAGTTTTTTAAGGAAATACAATAAATCGAGTTTTTTTTGTAGAAATACAGTAAATCAAGTTTTTCTTAAAATACAGTAAATCAAGTTTTTTTTACGGATATACAGTAAATCAAGATTTTGCAATAATAAAGTAAATCAAATTTTTGCAAAATACAGTAAATCAAGTTTTTTTATGAAAATATAATAAAACGAGTTTATTGTGAAAATACAGTAAATTGGGTTTTTTTGGAAATACAGTAAATCGGGTTTTTCTGAAGATACAGTAAATCGAGTTTTTTTTTCTTCCTAAAATACAATAAATCGATTTTTTTAGCTGAAATACAGTAAATCAAGTTTTTTTACGAAAATACAGTAAATTGAGTTTTTCTGGAAATACTGTAAATCAAGTTTTTTTCCAGAAATACAATAAATCAAGTTTTTTTCAAAAATAAAGTAAATCGATTTTTTTCGACGATACAATAAATTTATTTTTTCGAAAATTTAGTAAATCCACTTTTTTCTGTGGAAATACAGTAAATTGAGGTTTTCCGAAAATACGTAAGTCGAGTTCTTTTATGAAAACACAGTAAATCGAGTTTTTATACGAAAATACAATAAATCGAGTATATTGCAGAAATACAGTGAATCGAGTTTTTTTGCAGGAATTCAGTAAATCAAGTTTTTTTTTAGAATATAGTAAATCTAGTTTTTTTTTAAATACAGTAAATCGAGTTTTTTTGAGAAAATACAATTAATCAAGTTTTTTGCGGAAATATAGTAAATTGAGTTTTTGGAAATACAGTAAATTGAGTTGTTTTTTTTGCAGAAATACAGTAAATCGAGTTTTTTTTGGAAATACACTCAATCGAGTTATTTCTAGAAATATAGTAAATCAATTTTTTTGCAGAAATACAATAAATCGATTTTTTTTGCAGAAATACAGTAAATTGAGTTTTTACGAAGATACAGTAAATCGACCTTTTTTTTTTTGCAGAAATACAATAAATTGAGTTTTTCCGATAATACATAAATCGAGTTCTTTTACAGAAATACAATAAATTGAGTTTATTATAGAAATACAGTAAATTGAGTTTTTTTGCGGAAATACATTAAATTGAGTTTTTTTTTTTGCGGAAATACAATAAAACAAGTTTTTTTTACAGAAATATTGTTAATAGAGTTTTTTTTAAATACAGTAAATCTAGTTTTTTTTGCAGTAAATCTAGTTTTTTTGTATAAATACAGTTAATAGAGTTTTTTTTGAAAATACAGTAAGTTTGTTTGTTTTTTGCGAAAATACAATAAATCGGATTTTTCCAAAGATACAATAAATCAAGTTTTTGTGTGCAGAAATACAGTAAATCGATTTTTTCCAAAAACACAGTAAATCGAGTTCTTTTATGGAAATAAAGAATATCGGTTTTTTTCGAAAATACAAAATATCAAATTTTTTACAAATTTTTAAAAATTAAATATATTTAAATTAACTTTTTGGATAGATGGATTGTTGGTGCACAAAGTAGAGATGAAATACAAAAGAAATATATTTAATGACGGCTACAAAATAAGGAATAATGAATTACATTGACCTACATACTACTAGGCTATTTATACACAAAATTAGGGTATAATAAAATACTATAATACCCTTTAACAAAGATATAAAAAGACATTCCTAGATATTCCTAAAATATAAATTAATTCCAACAACATCCCTTGATTTATATTTACATAAAACAAACAACACCAATTTCATCCCTCAAATGAAGAAATTAACCAGTCTTGATAGCCTTTACCAGAACATTTGCCAGCTGCTTCTGGGTGCTACAGTGCACAACTTCTAATATTCCACTCTGAACTTGATTCCTCAGAAAGTGATGCTTGGTCTCAATATACTTGCTTCTCCCATGCATCACTGGGTTCTTGGCAAGATTGGTTGCAGACTTGTTATCAATCATCAGCTTCAGAGGTTTGTCTACCACAATCTTCGGATCTTGCAACAAGTTCAAAATCCACACAGCTTGGCATACAGTCAGAGCGCCTGCAACATATTCAGCTTCACAGGTTGACAACGCAACAACAAGTTGCTTCTTGGAACACCAAAAAATAGGACCTCCCGGAAATTTGAATAAGTACCCAGAAGTACTTCTTCTGTCAACTCTGTCTCCACACTAATCAGAGTCTGAATAACTCAGAAGTTCGGATTCAATCTTTCTTCCTTCCAGAAGGAAATAACACTCCATACTTCAGAGTTTCCTTCACATACCTTAGAATCCAGACAGCAGCTTGGTAATGAGACCACTTTGGTTTACTCATAAATCTGCTAATCATTCCAACTGCATAGCAAATATCAGGTCTGGTATTACACAAATACCTCAGAGAACCAACCATCTGTTTGAAGGTTGTAGCATCCACATCCTCTCCATCAGAATCAGAGTCCAACTTCTGATTTGTATCAGCAGGTGTGATACCAATGCAATTGTCTAGCTCAAATCTCTTCAGAAGCTCAAGTTCATACTTCATTTGATGCAAAATGATTGCTTTCTCAGAGTACATAAACTCCATCCCTAGAAAGAAACTCATTTTTCCAAGATCTGTCATCTCAAACTCATTCATCAGAACCTTCTTGAACTCAGCTATCTCTTATTCATAACTTCCTGTGAGCAGAAACAAGAGGTGCTCGTCGGGCGAGCGAAGTGCTTTGCCGGGTGAGGAGGGTGAGAAGAAACAAGAGCCCATGGATTTTTATGAGGAGGAAGCTATCGCTCCCACCTCGTCGGGCGAGCAACCTGCTTCGTCGGGCGAGCCGCATGCGAGGGACAACAAGAGAATTTTAAAAGTGTTGTAACTTGAGTTTCAAGACTTCGTTCGAAGCTCCGTTCGAAGCGTTAGGAAGCTAACATGATGAACTATACATTAGTGGAATAAAATGAGTTACATGATGTGTTTTCCAGTGTCTTTGTTATGATGAATAAGATGTTTTGGTGATTGTTTTATTGTGATGTAAGTGCATATGAGGAATTGTTGTGGCTATAATGATGACGTGTTCAATAAGAAGTATGTGATGATTTTATGATCGATTATATGAATGATGATGAGTTTTGACTAGAAGTGGTTATGTTGATATTGAGATGTTTCGTATCATGTATTCATGGCACATGTTAGAACTTCGGTCCAGTGATATTGTTAGGACGATTGGTCCAAGGATGGTGATAGGAATTTAGTCTAGTGATAGATTCAATCCCATAGTGTGGATTGAGTTTAATTTTATGATGTGCTCTGGTTCCAAGTAGGAATCGATCCTATTGGTGGGGATCTTTGGAGAAACGATGACTGTGTCATCAGTGAAGTTTTGTTTTGGTACCATATCCATGAGTCTAATGAAGTGTATTGCATTATATGTGACATTGTATAATGATTGGTTATATGATAATGATGATGTGATGATATGATGATGTGTTTGATGTGTACTGATGATGTTTGTGAAGGTGTGAGTATAATATGAGGTTTTATTGATGTGCGGTTTCTTGATGTTGTGTTATAACTACTATATTTATTCTTTATGTCTTTTATAATGATTATGATTACTCACCCTTTCTGCTTGGAAATGTTGCCTCTATACGTGGGTTTTAGTTCTCTATTTTTAGGATTGAAATTAATTTTAGTAAAACAAATATACCAGCAATATGTTAAATAGGATGTATTATCTTGCTAAGAAGAACATGTTGAGCAAGAATTCCTATTTTGTGTTGAGACATGTTGAGATGAGAAGTTCTCATCATCTGGAGCAACATGTCAGATAAGATGTCTTATGCAGGGTCATGCGACATTGCGCCTGGG